AGGGCGTCTGTCGATATAACCGATGAGGAACGGCAGGCCTTTTATTTATCCGAAGTTAAGGAATGGCCGGTCAGGGGAAAGGCTAATGAATGCAAACGCGTATCAAAAGGTTGTCTAGAATTTGTGTGTTTGTGCCGTACATTGGTTTTACTGATCGTTATTTTCTTGACAGCATTGACACAAATCATGGCATTAACTGAATGGAAGGAAGTGGCGAAAGTGTTCAATCATATGGACGGGGAATACGTTGGGGAAGTGGCGTATCCTATAGACCTGGATGTCATCAAAGCTCGCGTCGACAATAAGTTCTACCGAAGACAAGCGGCCATCAAATACGACCTGAAGTTCATTGAGTCGAACGCCTCTCTCCTGAACGCAGACGAAGACAGTCTTCTGGTGAGGAGCGCAAGGATTGTGACCTCTATTTGCCTTAAATTCATTGACGACAAGAAGGCCACAGATATTAAAGACATTTACGACAAAGTGATGGCCGACCACTCGCACCTAAACAAAATCAAGTACCACTCGTGTACCCGTCCGTACCTCAACCCCAACCCCAACACTTTGAATCCAATCATTGAGAACACGTTCAATGAGATGATGGGTTTGGCCTCCACTTCAGCGCCAACTGAACCGAGCGTCGAATCCGACAGAGAATATCCTGTCATTGATATGACTCTGACTTCAGATGAAGACTCCGTTATGAATGGAAGCGATGACGACGAAGAAGTGTTGATCCCTTTTGTGAAAAAAGAGCGCATTGAAGACATGGATGTGTCGACAACACCGGCGCAAAGGATTTCCAGCAGAAATACATCGATGAACAACAGCGTCGATGACACGAATCAAGTCTCTAACGATTCACTACAACAACCGGTATTTACGGTATTTATTTGTATCTGTAATATAATTAATGCAATTTTACTCGTATTTTAAGGTCAAACAAAATACTCGCAAATATTTCTGCGTTTTATGCGACGAGACGTTTGGAGAGAGAAATGAAGCGATCGATCATTACTGCCATAAACTGAATATTAAGCTCAAGTGTAGTCATTGTCCACAAAACCTAGCGTTTGAATCACTGCAGCAATACTTGGGTCACAACGAGGAGCACGTCTTTCTCATGAGGGCATCGTTCGATCAAAAGAGATATTTGACTCACAAGTCATGGATCGACAAAATGGTTAAATACATCGACGGTCTCGTGAATGAGCTCAAGATCCAGAAGGAGATCCACCGGCTGTACGGCGACTGGTGTCCCGTCTGTAAGCGCCTCAACGTCTTGACCCACGACTCGAAGCCGTTCTTTAACGACAGGGTATTTAAAAACAATCGCAAACTGGAGAACATTCGGCCGATGGAGGCGGAGATGAACTTCAAGAAGCATATCCAACAACACATGGGATACGAACCCATCTATTTGTGCACTCTTTGCACCAAACCTAACAGCGCTCTCGGCTTCCGCTCGGCATCACTCGAATCGTGTCGACAGCATCTCATCCGCGATCACAAAAAAGACCCCAATATAGACAACCCTAACGTCATGTCATACCTCTCGAACACAAAGATTCCAGATCTTGAGAAAGCGATTCCCACTTTGGTCAACAAATTTATCATTAATTGTCTCAACTATTAAACTTATTCGCATCACAAGTATTTCAATTCAGTTGACATTAACACAAATAACCATTGATAGCCAACTGCTCAACCATTGCATTACATACACATTCAATAACTTATTGCCAATAATTACCGTTAGTATAAATAACATATGATTTTCTATTTTGTTTCCATTATTTATTATTCATTGATTTTTCGATTGGTTTCAACCATTAAACCAATCAATAATTAAAAGTTGATTTAAATGTATCTTTTATGTTATGTTAAATAATATTAAGAATATTCTTAACTCTATACCTATTCTTATCAATCAAAAGCAATTGTCGTACCGATAATACCGGTCATAATTCAAACAGTTAAATCACAAAACACTATATTCTTACCGTTTACCTCAAATATTGTCTACTTTTGTATTTTAATATTTGTACACCTTTTGCTATAAATACTGTAACTCTTGTATAAGTTATAGTATAACTGTTATACTGTATATTGTAATCAGTTAATTTAGAGTCTACTGTATTGATAACTTATATAATCTGTATTATTTGATTGGTTATAATTGACAGCAATTAAAATAAAAGTGTTGTTTTAAAATTTTTAAACATTATTTTTAATCATTTAAATACATATTTACAATAAACTCATGAAAATATAATAAAAATTGATTACAAACAACAGTAAATCACAAATTGATGGCCGCTAATAGTGTATGAAATCATATTTGAGATGATATTCACTTTAAATACATTTAAATATTTATAGGTAAACGTTTTATCANTGTTGTTATTAACACGACTGCCATTCGAGGGAACGGTATTCACATGAATGCTGGCACCCGATGATCGTCTCGAGTGAGTGTTTCGCTCGTATTTCTCGACGTCTGAGTTCCATCCGGTGCTCTCATCGCTCCCGTCGTTATTCACATTACTATCACTGACTGTATTTGTACTCATTTTGAGCGCCTGTTCCGCTTCACGACTCAAACTAATGTTAGGTCTCGAGAGTCGAGACTTTTCCGAGAGACGGCTTCTCAGCAAAGGATTCTCATCGGCGATGTGTCCGTTCGGCGCAATAGCAGTCTTGGGGACCATATTATTGCTGCTTTGCTGTACACTACCAGCGCTCGATTGATGGGACAGTTGTTTTTTGGACGCTTGTGAGCCATTGTTGTTCTTTCGGGGCGGTCTTCCCGGTCCTCTGCGAGGCTTTACAGGCGAGGACCTCAAGATCTGTTGATCACTGCCTTCGGCAGCTGTTCGTTGACTTACGAGCGACTCATTGACGAGAACGGGAGGACTCCTCAAAGGCGGCGATATTTGCGAAGTGTTGGCGCGCTTAGAGTTATTGTTGAGTCCCTTTGGAGAGACGGGGCGTTTGGAGCGGTTGTGTATTTGACTGAACATCTGATCCATATTGCCTCGTGAGTTACGGCCCCGACTCGACTGATTCATATCAGACTCTCGTTGAAGTGATTGGACAGGTGTTAGGACGGGTGCCCCCGAGTCGTGCAACAGAGGTGTTCGTGAGGTATTTGAGGGAACGTTACGCTTTGGACTCACATTTGACTCATGATTTCTCTTATGAATCGGCTCTCGGCTAGCGATGTGTATGTTTTGTACGGATGCCTGGGTTTGTGTGTCGAGCGGTAGTGAATTGTCGATCAATTCTTGTACTTTGGGTATGAGTTTGTGTTTGAGATAACGAGACAACTGGTGCTCTTGGAGTTCCACGCGATGATCCTCTTTGATGTGAGCCCTCAAGAAGTTCTGTCCTAAGAATGCCTTATTGCACACCCGTTGGCCGTCTGTCACCGCTTTGCACACGAATGGAAGATATCTGAAGTGATGGAACAGATGGACGCGTCTCAAGGGCTTAGACTTGAGCTTCAATTCGGATATCTCGTAGATTTTGGTCTTTTGCTTGCATTTAAAGCACTGGTAGAGCGATATGTCCTCTCCTATCGAGAAAAGGCGTGAAATTTAATTCAAAACAAAAATCGATACAAAAATAATAATTAAAACATTTCCCAAAATACAGTAAAACTATTATGAAATGAATACTAATGAGACTAGAGCATATTTTACATTTTAAGCACTTAATGGTAATTCCAATAACAATATAACTCAATATAGAAACTAAAGAATATACAAAACTTTTGTATTTTCAAAACTATAGCAAATTATTGGTCAAAAATCGTGTCAAACAAATGTAAAGCTATTGTTAACAAGTTCTGTAAGTCTTATGGAAAATAAGCTAAAAATATTGACCCAATTCTCAACACAAATAGTCTTCAATAAAATCGATTGGAAATAAAAGTGTCTTAATGTAAACATACAGGTAATGCATTCATTCACTTACTTTTGTCCACAAAATAAATATTTTTTAGAATTCAAAATAAAACAGAAATGACATACAGTTATACAGTTATTATCGTAAGACTTACTACAGTACTGTATAAGTCATATGCAGATATCGATCGGTTAAAAATATATAGTTATCATTGAAATCATCTACATTTCAATCATAAACTATCGATTTATAGTGTGAGACAAACATCAGGTACGTTTAGGTTGAGTGAAAGGTTAACTCAACTTAGAAAATATATGAAATGAGATCTTTTTTGCTCACTTTTATGTCAATATACTGTAAGTAATAAAGTATCCCATGTATCCAATACATTCATAATTTGAAGTTCAGTTTTCAAATTAAATTAATTATTTCTTAAATATTTAATCTCATTATCATAACTCTGCAAATGTTAGCAATCAGTGATTTATGTCTTAATAATAATATTCAAAACAATATCTATTATAGATATGGATTGCCAGCAAAGACTAACTATTTATAACAAAATATTTAATTAGTCTTAAATACAAGTGGATTAACGAGAGTTTAGAGCGCATAACGAGTGGACAGACAGACAGACAACTGATTGACTATTGGTTCGCCACAACTGTTGGCAATGAATCGTAAAATGCTTTTCATCGCAAACACAAGTTTTGAGCACATGTTATGGTTATGACTGGATCTCCAGTTGGAAAGCATTTTCCATTCAAATCTAATGACTATTAATATTGTAATTCACTGATTGCTGTCAACGAGAGGGTGAGCACTGATGGGAAAGGGATGGCGTCATAGAGATAGTGATTGTCTGGTGGGAGACATACCCGAGAAGTTGGTCGGCTCGACGCAATCGAAATGCAAGAGTTGTTTGCATTGATGGCAGTGAACGACCACTTTGTCTGATTCCGATCCATAGCCACAGACGCAAAGACTCTTCTTCTTGAGATCGCGTGAATTGAGATCCAATTTAAAGCACTCACGAAATGCAAGAGTTGTTTGCATTGATGGCAGTGAACGACCACTTTGTCTGATTCCGATCCATAGCCACAGACGCAAAGACTCTTCTTCTTGAGATCGCGTGAATTGAGATCCAATTTAAAGCACTCTATAATACGGTCGCAGAGGTGACAGCCTTTGAGTAATATCTGCGACAAGTTCTCGACGGACGACTTCGGCAACTGTGGCGGTGATGACCACCGAAGACATTGATTGAGTTGTGTCTCGTATGTCACCAACGAGTCGATCCATTCGGTGAAGTTCTCGTCCACTCGACTGTCGAAGTGTTTGACGATTATGTGATTCTTGAGGTCTTTGGAGGTATATTTGGACCAATTCTGGTCGCAAAACACACAGAAGTAGAGGTACGGCGAAGACATAATCGGCGGTACGGAGTGAACCGCTGCTGATTACGGACCAATTGGTGCCATGAGTGGGCACTCAATCTCTTTGCGGTGATGTCTGCGGCAAACAAAGACAACACAAATGAGTCAATGAATGAGTGCTTTGTTTTGGTCTCTAATCTACACTCAAATGCTATGTTTTGGACACAAATGACACGTGTTTTCGATGACTCACTCTTAAGGTACGAGTGAATCGTGTCTTAAATACAGTTCAATACTAAAAGAGTTTTATTTAGACTTAAAATTGGTTTACATTTGGCTTCAACTGTAAAATGCAAACGATTTCCCATTTGTTTACTCGCCTTACAGTTAGCTCACGCACACAATGCACTCCCTTTTAGCCTAAACTCCCGCTGCATTTGGGAATATTGCCCCACAATTAGTGCAATAGCTTACGAGCATTATATCAATGAAAATCGTATACATTTATTGTGGGAATATAGGGCTCGCTTTCATCACTAAAACATTGGTCAATGTGAGAGACCACACGATGAGAGGCCACACGTATATTCCGTTACCATTTATTTTATTCCTACAGAATTTGTATTCCTACAGAATATGGCTCATGAAAAGTACATAGGCATAGAAAATAATCATGCTTATTTATAGAGTTTTTATAATGTGATTTGTATAATCTGGACACTTGAAAGGATTTATAAATCCCATAAACTTTACAGTTTAAAACTAAATAACTTATATAGTTTGTATTACAAACCATGTTGCTTTTTAAATTTAAATTAGCAAGGTTTTTTCCAATATATGATTCGAATTAATAAGGTCAACCACTTATTTAACGCTTGTAAACAATTTTTGGTTTAAAAATTAATTTGAATATGAAATAAGAAAATTGTAAATTGTACTGGTACATACATTAGCAGTATTTAATATGCAGTGAATTGACAATTTAAATAAAACTTTTTTATTTTAAACACTTAATGATTAGTTTTAAAATATTATTTTAAACAAATCATTGTTTAAATGAGACATAAACTGATGTATGATTTGCAAAACATTTATTTCATACGACTTCGAAATATATAAAAATTAATTTCATTTTTACAAAATTACTTGAAAAATTGAATTTTATTTTCATACTTAATTGGATTTTGTTGTAAGTATATTTGCATTATAACACAAAAATAACATATTAAGTTTTACTATATTTTTATCCGATATTTAAACTATAAATTTATTTGATTATCAAAAGTAAACACAATATATTACAAAAGATAGGAAATAAAAATATATGTCAAAAGACTTATTGATTTCATAATACGAGAACACACTTAAGACTAATATATGCGATAAGAATATATAAATTGTTTGATAAATAATGTTTTGTACGATATTTACTGTTATGTTATATTAAATTATTCTTTATATCATTATACTGTAGATATTAAATATTGTTATAAAAGTAAAAGTTTAGTTAACGAAAGTTACGCAATATTATGAGGGTATACGATATGACTATAAACGTGTGGTATCATGTGTTTTAATTTGATTTTAAAAAATAAACACTTATATTAAAATTTATAAATTTTGTTTATGAGTACTATTCTGGTTCTCACTTTCACTCAGAACTTGCATCTCAAAAATGAGTTAAGTTTTAATATAATATAAGTTATTTATTAGTTATATATAGTTATATATTATATAAGTTATCAATAGGAGGCAATCACATTGAGAAAAGTGAAAAAACTAAGTTCGTTTAGTTTAATCATACAAATTATTTGTAACAAATATGCTAGTTCACTACATTAAAGCTGTGAAATTAAAGATTTAGGTATCATTTACTAACTAGTAAGCTTTCAATCTTAAACGATTATCTCTATTATTTATTAAAACCTAGTAATTAGGTCATAATTCATATGTAGCATTTCGACACTGTATTTAATTTTGTAACCTTTGATCTTTACAATTGTGATATTTCACTAAAAGTGATCAGCATCAAATGCTTTTTTGAAACCCTAACTGGATAATGATTTAAATTTCTATCAAATCAAATATCAATTTTAATAAAGATATTTAATATATAATATCAGAGATAAAATATAACAATTTTAATGATTTTGGCAATGTGTCAGTGTGTTTGTACAAGAATTAAAAATTGAGACTTGTTTTATCTTATGATAACAAAAATCAAAATTATTTTGCATTATAAACACTTACATTTTAAATGGAGAATATATTATATGGTTTTGTATAAGTTGGAATTAATTTAATAAAATTTAATATTCATATAAGTTATATAACATATAGCTCATTTACCATATGAATATATTCATGCACAAATTCGTTAAAAATATACGGTTTTAAATTGGTTAATTCATATATTCAGCATGCTACACTGGTATACCAGAATGTAATTGTAAATTAGTAAAATATTATAGATATAATTAAATTTAAATGGCTTTCGAAACTTACGCATCGATTATTAATTTAAATGAAATACAATCCACAGTTTGCCTACAATTTCCAAATGTGTTCAATTTACAGACCATATGAAAGGTAATATTTAATACAAAATCTATTCAATCGATTTAATATAACAAATTTATAATAATAATGATAAAATATATATTGACAATTCTAATCCAAGTTTCTAAATACCCCGTATACTAGAATTTGACAATGCCAAATAATCGCGCAGGTGAATTTTATATAATTTTAATATGAATTGACTCATAAACATATTAATGTGAAATTTGTGGTGAAAAACATACTTTTAAATATAATATAACTTTGTAATAATTAAAACACTACACGAACTACATACTATCTTACGAATTCAAATGTGATTGGCTTATCATATGTTTGTAATTATTTTTTAATACCAGATCATGGCCTTCACTATGACTAGTCGTTGCATTCAATGTACAGTACCGTATGATATAGTAACTATATTATAGTTGATGATCTAGCTCACTATCGCTAAATGGTTTTATACTAATGGTATTCAGTTTATGATAATCTATAATAAATATATAATTTCTATTTATATTCTTATAATATTCTCATGTCTCCAAATCATTAGCTAACTTATAAATACAAAATAAAAACTTGTTATGTATTTAGTTCAGTATATACTATATAGTAACTTAACATCAATTATTATATACGCATAATTACAGTATAGGTACTGGATCAATGATTGTAAACGACAATAAAATAATAGCATATTTGTTAATACAGTAATAGAATAAGAATACAATATTTTAATTGTGAAAAAATTGACTTTATTTGGAAATACATTACAGTATATCTCAGGCAAACGAATGTTAAATTACAGTGACATTAAATTAAATTATAACAAACTATCAAAACGTTTGATTCAAACATAATTTCAAGGGTTTTCAATTCAGAAATTCTAAACTAACTCTAGTTTGTTATAACCAATAGATTTAATAACTTTTCGTATTTAAAATTATTATTAAGTAGAATTGCATTAATGTAAACACTTTTATTCTACTAATTGCCAGAATTTCAATTCAATCAAATGTTATGAAAACTGAAAACAAGTGTTGACTGATATGTCGATGAGTGAGCTATGAATGCAATTATGGGTTAAAGGAACGGAACACAATGTCATCCAATTTAGGTATGGATCCATCGAAGAACATCTTCAATGAGT